ATCGTGGGTTTCAGAGACTAAAATCTCCGAAAACAAGACAGACAATTTGTTTTAAATAGAGATTTCGGTCTCAGAAACTCATCGTTAGCCAGTCATTAAAAGAGAAAGTTAAGATTTTCTTTATGAATATATTTTAGGTGCTTTCTCCCGTACATTCAGTCGTGTTAAGCTAACGTATAACTTGATTTACGCCAATATAATGTCGTTCTATAATGAAATTGAGAAGTCTGTTAACTTGTACGACAAGTTGGAAGTGAGGAAATATTTGAAAGTTTACGCGTTAGCCCTCGTAGAAAGTTATCGTCATAAAGGTAAGAAAAGTTAAGAACAAATTTTCTTTATTACAGATTTCGAATACGTATCCTAATTTAAAAAACACATATTACGTATTTCAATTTAAAGAAAAATGTTTGTCATTTGTAGGACTTGGCAAAGAATTATTAAAATCAGCAATGTTGTTAGCTGCAAGTGCCCATGTACCTGCAATTTCTGGAATATTTCTATCACAGTGTAGTCAAAACCTTGCCAAGGAACTGGGATTCGTGAAATTCAATGAAATATATTATAACAAATATTTTATCAATGATCAGGTACGCACCCAATAAGTAATTAATTGTAACTAATTGTAGTTAAAATCTCTTGATTAATTCCTTTTTTTATCGTTATAAAAGGCATTGGTATATATCGAAGATACTAACGCCATCTATATCCACTTAACGACGGTATTGAATACAGCGCCATCTAAAAATGGTTGAACTAAGTATTGGTTTTTTGCATGTTGTGTTTTTAGGTATTATTCACTGGTACAGATGAGAATAACAGTGCAGCACTTATGGCATACCGTATACCAGATGTCGAGGAAGTAGCAGACTTGGAAATACAGCAACTCGCTAGATTCAATGTTGAATCTGAAGGGGAACAGAATTCAAAGAATAGCTAATAATTTAAAAAAACATACTTGTTCAAATGAGGACGGACGCGGAAAAAAGCTTCATTAGTAGCTATGTGTTCTTTCAGACTATGTTTACATCTATGCCAAATTTCAGCGATGTTAATGTAGCCGTTCTGGAGATACCTTCTAAAAAACATCCATACATCCAAACTTTCGCAATTATAATAGTGAGATATACCTAATCCAAAGCAGTTTTGATTCGCTAGTTTAGTTGTAAAAAAGGTATGAATTTATTTATTCCATTTTATAAGAATTCCGAGTAGTATATTTGCGAAAATCTCGTGAAAGCAGAAGACGGCATACGAGATAAGTTAGTACTTTGTAACATGCAAGGTGTTATGTTCCATTTCCTTTCAACAAACTTACTGAATCTGTTTATCTACATCCAGGTCAGTGACGGAATACAGATTTTGTCGTACATATAGACATTTCATTTTAAATTTACTAGGAAAGTACGAAACTAGCCAATTTGAAAACATTTAAACTTGTAGAAATAGATGGTGTGAGAGAAGACCGGTAAGGAAGACAGGCAGGCAGACAGAGAAAATTACTAAGGGTGTTGGTGGTTATTTTTTTTTTCCTTTCATAATTTTAATCTTACTAATATTATACATACGAATGTTTAGATGGATAGAGGGATAAATGTCCGTATGAAGGTATTTCCGGAACGGCTCCACGGATCTTGATAAAATTTGTCATGCACATAAAACATAATCTGGATGGACGGAGTCGATGACGACAGCTAATTTAAAATATTTTGGATTTTTGATGTGGAAGTATAAAATAAATTTATTAAAATCCTTGAGGACTAAATATGTAAAAAGATATTCGGTTATAAGAAATGATTTATCAGATTTAATTCAAATAATAAAAGATGGAAAAGAATTCTAATATTAAATTCTTCAACGCGGAAAACTTTTTCAATAAATAACCAACCGAAATACTACAAGAAAACTGATTTATTATGTATTCAATAATGAGTATAAATTAATTGTTCCTAACTAATCAGTTAATCAATACGTAAATACAATTGGATGGATGGATGTTTGTTTTAAGGTATCTCCGGAACGGCTGAACGGATCTCGCTGAAATATAGCATAGTCTGGAAGAACACATAGGTTACTTATTAACTTTTTTAATTCAATGCCTTCAGCTTTGCGGTTGACAGCTAGTACTTAAATAAACAAATGCAAGCAAGATAAAAAAATATTTTACAACTAAAATAGTAAACCAAATTGTTACCTCTCTGTTCAAGCAAAGACTAGCAGTTTCCTAAACTAGTAATGATTATAGGCTATGTCACCCGGGAACATTGTATCCAACAGTTAAATATTTTTACCAAATAATTCGGTACTTTCGCTGCGTATTTAATGCAAACAAACAAACTATCAATATTTTTCTCTTCATAATATTAGTATAAAGAATGTGAGTGATAAGAACATGTTTTATACATAAAATGTTTTGATATTGGGAACCCACAAAAATGCATGGAAAATACTTGAATATTAAGTTTACGAAACAAGCTATGTTATATAGAATGGAAATGATTTGCTCTTGTTTGTTCGTTCCTTGAGCTGGCATTATGCCAACAATACATTTTCAGCTTAAATAAACAATATATGTAGGTCATTAGAGAGGTCAGCTGTAAAGTATCTACGTAACCGTACAATCTGAGGCTTGTTATCGATCTATATTTTAACTTATAGGCATTTAGAGAGTCTGCAATTAACCGGTTCGACATATCCTACACAGCACAGTCGTCTGGTTTTGATGATCTTGATGGATACATTTATAAAAATGTTACTATTTTATAACTGTGGTAGATGCACATCTCTTGCAAGAAAGGGTAACTCGCCCGGTATAATACCACAAACACACAGAAGAAAGTCAAGTAGAAGTCATTCCGCGTTTCGTCTGATGTGTGTTCCGGAGGTCCAATTTAAGTCCTTTTTCCCTTCCTACCATTTACTTATAAGGAATGGATAGGAAGGAGAAGTGGATTGGATGAAGTAGACGACGCATAGGAAGGGTAAATATTCTCTTACAATGTGTCTCCTTCTCTGTCGATTAAAGGCACTAAATGCATCTGTAATTGCGGATGTCTACAGGCAGCGGTCATATCTGAATTTACCCCCTTCTTACGTATATCCTCTTTCACATAATCCATGCATACTTTCTTTAGTCTTCCTCTACCTTTGTAGCCTCGTTCAATCTCTTGTTTATGTGATCATCACCATTTTATTAAAAAGTAAAATAAGCGATCTTTTTGTTTAACACAGAAAATCCATTGTTGATTTCATTCTACACAAAGCAACTAAACTACACTGATAATTTGAGTACACTCGATGAGTGCCGTTCATTAGGGGACAGTTAACATTGCTTTTAATTACACGAACCAATGTTATCACATTATCAACGTAATTTCACGTAACTCTTGTTTCAATGAACTGTGAATTTGTTTAATTCGTTGTTAATCACTGAAACATTTTTTTTTATATCGTATCGTATTTAATTGGTAAACAAATTTATTTTATTCTGAAGGAGTAATATGAAAGACACATTTTTTAATATTCAATTAAAAAAAACTCATTACAATTTTTTTTGTTCACTATCTGACTGACAAAGAGGGTAATGTGATGCGCGTGTAATTTTTTTCATGTAACTATAATTTTTTTTTAACATAAGGTGACAAACGAGCGAGCGGCCACCTGAAATCTTTGAAATAGTATAGTGACCGTGGCCCATGGATATACGCAATTGCATATGCGCTGCATACCTTTTATCGACAGAGGAGATACACATAAAGAAAATATCTTCCCTTCCCATGCATTTTCTCAACCGGAAAGCCTACTTCCACTTTCTGTTCTTTCCTTATAAGAAAATTCTATTTTGACGGCTTAAACAGCTAAACAGATTTTGACGAGTTGACATTCGATTCATCTTCTTCCCCGGAGTGGCATAGAGTACATAATATTCGGACAAAACACAAATAATGGACGTGAGAGATAAAATTCTTAAAAAATAGTGAACAAGTTTAAATCTCCCAAGCTAAATATTTTTATATTTTTTCGTTGCTATATTTATTTCTCGTTGATTCTAAAACAATCAATGAAAATACAGTTTATTAAGTTTAAATTTAAAAAAAAATTAAAATCTTAGTTTTAAAACGCAGACAATAGATGGCGCTATTCCATCTATTTAAGCCTCAGACAAGTTTTTTAGTTTTATTTTAACTAAGGTATATAACCTGTGTGTGTCATAACTTATTATATTTAAAACCAAAATAGTGCTTTCATTAGAACTGAAAAAGTTATTAAGTCTTAGGATCTTGATCTATATTAAATGTTTTAACTGAAATATTAGGTCACTTTCTCATATATTTCTTATCGAATGATAAAAATCCTTCATGAACCAAACCTGTATAAATATTAATGCAGGCGCTTGCTGGAGGAAATGTTAATAAAGCCTGTCCGATACGTGATGTTCATATTGATTGGAAAAAGGTATGATCTATTGCGGACAATTTTTATCTATTTAAAAGAAAATCACACTTATTTTTGTTACGTTATAAAGTGAGACATACAGAAAGAGAATTTTATATCTTTTCTATGCATCCCCTCCTCTGTCAAATTCACTTCCCCTTTCTTGCTTTTATTTATAACAAAAAGATGTCAAGGGAAAATAAAATTAAAATAGGTACTTACTAAGCTAGCGCGTACCATCTTTCGACCAAATCTCCATTTCACAAGGTGGGATCGTGGTCAAGCGCTCGCTTATAAAACGTAAAAAAAACAACAGACGGAAGGAATACTTCCTCTTTACGCCTATCTTCTCTGTGGTATGCGGAACTATTCGTACAATATTTAAGAATATTTCCACTTAAATACTTTTGTCATGGCAGATCATCATCATCATCATCAGCAGGGTGATTAGGCCATAGGCAACAACGCTTGCCAAGTGCGGGTTGATTGACTTCACACATATCTTTGAATTTCTTCTCAAATATGGGCAGGTTGCATCACGATGTTTTCTTTCACCGTAAGAACGTCGGAGAAATGTACACATGTAAATCGGAAATCGAAAAACACATTGGTATATGGCGGGATTCGAACCCAGGACCTGCAGATTGCAAGTCAAGTGACAGAGAAGTCACAGACGCTCTTATATTTGCCCATGGCAGATATTTTGAAATAATACTGGTGACTTGAGACAATGAAATTTTAATATGAATTAAAATGTAAATCAAAACATGAATCCGTTTAATTTGTCCTTAAAAAGGTAATAAATTAACCAAAGTAAAGGTTTAAAGAACATAATATTAATAATGCAAATGAGTTAGCTTTGAATATTCAAATAACTTTGCTATAACAATACCATTCTCTTTATTATACTTTTTCAAGTGCTATATAAACCTTAATCTGTCTAATCTATCCTAAATTAAAATCTTGAAGTATTTGTAAAGGTAAAAATGTCTAACGGAACAGTTTTTACAATGTCTCGAACCTTTAATCTCAAATATATGAACATTTCTTTTTTTTATCATATTATTAAAAATGTGCTAAGGTAATTTAACTATATAACACGTTAGTGCGACTTATCGGCTGGTACGCATTCCATGAAAGTCTTAGTAGCATTGAACGTGTTGACAGAAATCTTACATTTCATTCCATTTGAAATCGAATAATCTTTTAAATTTTTTACATTTTTTTTATGTCATAAGGTGGCAATCGAGCGAGCTGCCACCTGAAATCGCTGACATAGCGAAGTGACCGTTGCCCATAGACATACGCAATTGCATATGCGTTGCCTACCTTTAATCGCCGGAGGAGAGGATGCACAGAAAGAAAATATTTTCCCTTTCCATGCATCCTCTCGTCCGAAAAGTCCACTTCCACTTCCCATCCTTTCCTTATAAGGAAAAGGGTGGGAAGGGAAAGAGGACTAAGTTAGACCTCCGGGACGCACACTCATCAGACGAAACGCGGAAT